CTTCAGGAAAGCAACTTTTATTCTTTTGGTTTTTTTAGAGACAGGGTTTCTGTGTGTAGCCTTGGCTGACCTAGACTCCCTTTGTAGACTAGGCTGTCCTTGAACTTACAGAGATCTGCCTGCCTCTGCCTTCCCGAGTGCTGGGACTACAGGCATGGGCCAATCACACATGGCTAGGAAAGCAACTTTTAAAAGTTAAGACTTGTACACTTAAAACTACAAAAGACTGTCTCAAGAAATTACTATTTAATATTAATTAATATTTAATGTGAATTGTCTCAAGAAATAAATATTTAATAAAATAGAAAACATGTTTATAGTTCAGAAAACAATGTTGTTAAGATGCTACTACACTACTAATAGAATTACAAATTCATTGCCATTCCTAGCAAAATCCAAGCTGGCTTCCTGCAGTAATTGATGGTTTTAAAATTCACAAGGGCATATGAGGGACTCAGGCAAGTCAAGTAATCTTGACAAAGAAGTAATTAGAATGCTCATACTTCCTGATTTCTGATTTCAAAATTTATTATTAAGACAGTGGTAGCTGGTACATTGGAATTGCTGAAAACCTGTTGTGGATATAAACATGGTTTTGTTTTAATCCCAGGTGTGGGATGTGGGACTTATTCAGACAGTCCACAGCAGCAAACTATTTGCCTCGTGCGGGCTCTGAGAGGAGCTCTTTGCCAGCTGCAGATAGTTTAATTCTGAAGCATCTGGAGAGAGAATAAATGCCAGAGCCCAGAGAGTGTTGGGGAGCTCTGAGAAAGAACATGGTTGCTGCTGTTCCTTCCCACCCCCCACCCCCACCCCCGCTCCTGTTACCGTTGCTGCAGTGAGACAAGAAGTTGGAGATCTCCTGAAACAAGGATTGGACTGGTTTCAAGGAACCCAACGACCCTAACCAGCAGGAATCAGCTAAGGGAACTGCACCCACTCTCCCGATAGCTGTTTCTCCTATCTAGTGTTGGGGTGTTAGAGGGGTTTGGGGTGGGGTAGAGTAGAGAGAAAGAGATATAAGAAATGTAAATAAAAGTTTTAAAAAAGTACGCCAACAAAAACCAACTGACCAATTCAAGTTAACACAATTAAATATAGGAAAAAGGATTATCAACAAATGGTAGCTAGGTGTGGTGACATATTCTTAAAATCCCACCTTAGGACTTAGGGAAGCAGAGGATCTCTGCAAGTTCAGTACCAGCCTGGTCTACCTACATAGTGCATTCCAGTTCAGTCAGGGCTACATAGTAACTAACAAAACAAAAGTTGCCAAGACAAGTAAATTTGTATAGGAAGAAGAATGAAAGTGAACTCCTATTTCACACCATACACACAAAGTAACTTAAAGGAGATCAAAGATAAAAAGGAGCTAAGCTTACAAAATGATTAGGGAGAAAAAAAAAAAAGACAAAGACAAAACAACAAAAAGCTCCAATACATACAGAAAGTCTCACAAGTTTGGATGAGACAGATTCTTTTTTAAAATTTACATGTGCTACCAAAACTAACCAGAATGAAATGTAGATAAATAATTACTTTATCAAAATTAAAAACTTTGGCTAGGGATATAGATGTAACATGGTGAAGGCCCTGGATTCAACCCCAGCACCAAAACAAACACTCATAAGTGAAAGGGAATTGTCAAAGAGAAAATAGGCTGAGGAGATGGTTCAGTTCATCATGAGAGTAATTCTAGCACCATCATGACCGCTCTTATTTGTCTCTGACTCAAGTTAAGGGATCAAGGACTCCTTTCTGGCCTTCACAGGAACAAGGCACATGTAGTGCACAGACATGCATTCAGTCAAACACCCATACACACAAAATACATTTTTAAGTTAAAAAAAAATTACAGAAAATATTTGTTGATCATGTGTCAGAAGCTTCTTGTATCCAGAATAAGTAAAGAATTCTTAAAATTAAAGGATAAAAGAAAATCAATCAAAACACAGGCAAAGAAGACACCTATACTTCAGCTACTAGAGATGCTGAGGCAGGAGGATAGATTGAGTTCAGGAGTTTAAGGGCAGACTAGGTAACACAGCAAGACACCTTTCCCCAAAATAGTATGCTAATCACCTGAATAGAGATTTATATAAAGAAGACACACAAATGCCAATAAGGGAACAAAAAACAATGCTCAACATCCCTGGTCATTAGAAAAATGCAAATTAAAACTACAATGAAATATTACCTCATACCCGGTAGAATGGTTAAAATAATAACGACATTTTTACTGTTGAAGATGTGGAGAAACGGACACCCATACACATTACTAATGGGATTGTAGTTTTTATACCTGCTTTAGAAAACAGTTTGAAGGTTATTCAAAGTACTGTAACTCAAAAGTTGTACTTCTAGGCATACACAAAGAACTGAAAATATTCATACACATAGAGCTTGTTCACAGCCATGCTATCCATAGCAGCCAAAGTGTGGAAGCTCCAAATGCCTATTAGCTGACGGTTGAAGAATGACGGTCTCATTCACATATTAGAGCACTACTTGGTAATCATAAAGAATAAAGTACTTACACATGAGGAACCTTGAATTACTATGCTACAGAAAAGATGACACACACAAAAGGTCACAAATTACATGATCAAATTGACATTAAATGTTCACTATAGGAAATCCAGAGATAGGGAGTGGATTAGTGTAAGTAGAAAGGAGAAAAAAAGTTGAGAATAATTGTTAATGCCCACAGAAGTGTTTTGTGTCAGGTGCTGAACATATCTAAAAATTAAGAGAATGCTAGTAAATGAGTAATTATGGGACTATACCAAAATCCAGTGAAAAGTGTTTTTTTGGGGGAAATGGTAGTGGTGGTGACAGGCTTTACTGTTTAGCACTGACTTGACTGGAACTCAGGATGTAGACCAGAATGGCCTAGAACTTAAGATTCTTTTGCTGGGATGACAAGCATGGACTATCATGCTAAGCCTTATTTTTTTTTTTAATGTATTTTAAAAAATATAGCTAACAGAGTGGTTTCTATATAAAGAAAGGTTACTAATGGACCAGTATGTACATTCATGGTCACTAGCAGATAATTTACAAAGTATAGGTAGTTACCTCATTAAAGGTTCTCTCTGATCCCTCATCAGCCTCAGTGTAACTTCACATGCTCTTCGAAACAGACCCTCTGTTCCCATAGGACCCATTCCATTAACCATATTATGAGTTAGGCGAAATGGTACAATTTCTGGAACTTCAAAAGTTTCTCCCTTAAAAACAAATAGTTTTATTATAATAATAAACTTATAAAACCTTTGCTCAAAGAATTTGGAATGTCATATCTGGACTTCTTTAGGAAAGAAAAAAATATCCTCCAAATCAAGAGGCATCTCTTGAAAAGAGCCATATAACTTTGCTTTTGGGCAATTTGAAACCACGGCTTCATCTTAGAAAAGATCAAGAAGACGAATGGATTCAGTTTCTCCAGTTTATAAGCTGAGTATTATTATGGAGTATACTTATCATTCAATATTTAGTCTCAGTGATATAATATGAAAACTTTTCCTGTCTCTACTTCCTTCCTCCTCATTTTTTTCTTTTTATAGTATTACTTTAAAATAGAAGGGAAATAACCAGAGATTTCCCCCTCAGACAGGCAACTAAACACCTTAGTCTAGCTGTTCACTTTCTGACATTCCTTATCAGGCCTATCTTAGGTCTTTTTCCCTTCTAAACAGTCATTCTAAATTTTCCTTTTGTATGTATGGTTTGATCTAGACCATGTATTTTATCTTTGATTTCTTTTCAGCTCAGTATACTGTCTTGTTCATCTTTGTGTGATAGCTAACAACAATCCAAAGAAGATAAGGTCAAGGAAAACTGAGATGACCTCCTAGTCTTCCTCCAGAATTATAACAGTAGTAAATTACAGAAGTCCTTAAGGCTGTATCCACTAACTTACTCTCAAGGACCCACTCTGGCACTATTTGTGTAGTTATTATTTAGTTGCTAGAGCTTGAATTCAGGACCCAGTACATACTGGGTAAAAGCTCTACTACTGAACTATACCCTAGCCTGACTTTTTCTTTAACCTAGATCAGACTCACATACTGTCAAGTTTGGAAATATTAAACAACTCTGACTTTATGGAACTAAGTCTCTGTAAAACGAACTGATCTGCTCAACTTCACACAGCTAGTAACTGAGTCAGGACTTAGAAGCTCATGCTAGTTTTCATATATAATTTTTCTAACTCTCTGCATCCTAAATAGCTTTCCTAGAGATCCACCGATGAAAACCGGTGAAGAGACTCTCTGAGTTATGCAGCTATGACTAAAGGTATAGCTAGGGAGAACAGTTGTTGGGGAGAGAAAATTTGAAGGAATATAACCAATTAACTGAAGTCACATCACACCTTATTAAAAAGACAGTTGAAGTCTACATGTACACATTCACCAGTGAAAGAATCAAAAAGAATGTTTTCACCATGACGGTCTCCAAGCCCCAAGATATAGCCAACCATTGACATGACTGCTGTAGAACGGCAGTATGCGGATCTACTACTGTACCTGAAAAAATACAATGCCTGTCAAATACTTTGTGCCAGATTTAGGCAGAAAAGATAATTTAAAAATAAATATTAAACTGTAGCAATGTATTATATTTTTGGTAACTTGCCATGATGTAGGATCAGGAAATGTTCTCAGAAACCATTCATGAAAAACAGGAGGGTGCCTGGGCAGGAGAATATCTTGGAATACTTTTAGTTTTTCAGATAAAGCTGCTGACTTTGGGAGCATACACTGGCGAAGCTCCTTTCCTGTCATATACACTCCTACAAAGCAGAATGATACTAATTTTAAACACAGCCAAATGAGAAAAGAAGCAATAATAATTTTTCTTAAAATATGAAAGGTCAACTTTTGATCCAACTGAATAGAAAAATACCAATCAATCATGCATATAAATGGTTAAACATGGTAACAAAGTAATAAACGACTGTTTTTCCTTAATACTTATAAAAAGTATATACCTTTTTTTAATGTAGAAGAAACATACTACTTCTTATCCTTTACTGTAAGGTTGGTAGCCCTGAGAACTCCTTGATCGATATAGCATGTTATGGATATAGCTTCTTATTGATAAAAATTAATATTAATGAACAAAAAACCCCAATATATGATCAAATAACTCCAGAATATAAGACTCAGAAAAATTTAGGTGTGAGTGATTACTCTGGACTGCAAAAATGCTACCACTCTTACTAAAACTATAGTAGCCTCTCTTGATCAGGATGTCATACTGGGGTAACTCGAACTCCTAGTAGAAAGGACAAACTGGTCCTCTGAAATAAGTTACTCTAAGGCAAGTCTATGAAATTCATGGATTACCATGATTACTGTTATTTAAATCCAGGTCTCACTTTATAGCCAGGGCTAACCTGGAACTTAGAAATTTATTTTGTAATATATTACAAAATAAACTTGCAGTAATCCTCCTTCCTGTGTGTCCTGAGTGCTGAGTTTATAGGTCTGTGCCACTACTCCCAATATGTTCTTGACTCTTCTTTTTAAGCCAGGCTCTCACTATGTTGCTCTGGATGGCCTGGGACTATGTAGATCAGGTGAACCTTAAACTCAAAGAGATTTGCCTGCCTCTCCTTCCTGAGTGTTAGGATTAAAAGGGGTCTACCATGCCTGGCAGGTAACTAACTTTTTGAGGCAGTCTTACTATGTAGCTATGGCTATCCTACAACTAGAACTCAGTATGTAGATCAGGCTGGCCTCAAACTCACAGAAATCCACCTCCCAAGTGTTGGGAATAAAGGCATGAGCCAACACTTCTGGCATGTTACTAATTCTTAAACTAAACCTTAGACTGAAAATCATCTGGATACAATATAGGACAAGCTCATGGTTTGTGACTTTTAGCTTCATTCATTGTATAGTTCCACAATATTTATAAGGTGGACTCTTAACATTTAATTGAGTTTTTTTCTGTTCAAGATGCTCATTCACCACGTGAATTTGAACTAGTTATTTAGAGAATTAGGCTTTTTAATAATAATGACATGATCTATATTACATGTGTAGTATAATACACATACTAGAGTAATTTACCAGTACTACTTATGATACGGACTTAATTGTGTTTTTTAAAAAATTATGTTGAATAGCTGGGGTGATGGGACATGACTTTAATTCCAGCACTTGGGAGGCAGAGACAGAATGATCTCTGTGAATGTGAGGCCCAGCCTGGTCTAACCTAGTTTAAGTTCCAGGACAGCCACGGCTCCACAGTGAGACCTTTTCTCAAAAAATAAAGCAACCCCCCCCCCCCAATATGTTAGAGAATATAACCTTATTTGGAAATATGGTCTTTATAGATAGAGCCAGGTTAAGAAGAGTGCATTAAGGTGGGATTATAATTCAAGAATCCAACAACTGGTATTATTATAGTAGAAAAAAAAGAGACTTATGCCAGGGAGATGGGGTCAGTGGATAAACTACCATGTAAGCATGAGGATCTGACTCCAAATCCTCAGAACTCACATAAAGCTAGATGTAGAAGTGCACATCTATCATCCCAGTGCTCCCAGAGCAAGATGAGAGACAGAGACTGAGAATTTCTGGAAGCTCAAGGCCTGGCCTAGGCAGCGACAAGAGACCCTGGGTCAAACAAGATAGGTGAGGATGGCTGATACGCAGGTCACCTCTGACAACCACATGTGCACTTGTAGCTCTGCCATATTTGCACATATAAGTATGTGTACACTGATTTTTAAAAAGATAAATATTAAAATATACTGTATAGATGAATGGAATTGTTAATGAATACATTTTTGAAACTCTTCAAAAGGGGGGCATTTTGGTGGAGCATACTTTTAATCTGGGCAGACGCAGGCAGATAGGGCTGAGTTTGAAGCCATCCTAGTCTACATAGTAGGGAAACAAAAACTACAACAAAAAATAGGTGTGTAACAACACAGAAATTTGATCAGTTATTTTTTTCTATCATGAAGTTACTATGTTTTTTTTCTTTTCACAATTAACAATTATCTCACAAGAAAGGATTTTATATCACAAATGACCTGTTTCTTAACATACTTTTGCCTTAATTTTTTCTTTTTTTGGATCTTTTAAGACAGGGTTTCTCTGTGTTATAGCTCTGGCTGTCCTGGAAATCACTCTGCAGACCAAGCTTGCCTTGAACTTACAAAGATCTGCCTGACTCTGCCTCCTGAGTGCTAGGATTAAAGGCGTGTGCTACCATTGCCTGGCTACTTTTTTTCTTTTTAAAATTCTGGGACATGTTATCACTCTGCAGCCATGGCTGGCACTGACCTCATGACCCTCCTGCAGTGGCTTTCCCGAGTGCTGGGATTACTGGAGACCATTTATAATCACTGCCTATGACATCAGTTCCTATGGTGTTTGCTAGTTAGTAATATTCTTTTTCCACAGTCCTGCAGTCATTCATCACAATTTTACTACAATAAAGACTTTTTCCTACTTACCTACTTGTGAAAGTAATTATTTACATAAATATGAAGGTATATTTATTTTACTTCCTAGGTTATAATTAATTACCTTTAATATTATTTTTGCTAAAGTTATTTCAAGTTAGGATAGCCTTTTTTAAAATTCATTTTTATTTTATGTGCACTGGTGTTTTTCAGATAAAGCTGCTGACTTTGGTATCATCCACTGCATGTATGTCTGTGTGAGGGGGTCAGATCTTGAAGTTACAGTTACAGACAGTTGTGAGCTGCCATCTGGATGCTGGGAATTGAACCCGGGTCCTCTGGAAGAACAGTCAGTGCTCTTAACTGCTGAGCTATCTCTCCAGCCCCAGGACAGCCTTCTAATCCATCAAATATTTATGTTTCTCTGACAGTAAGAAAACGAACTTTCGTTGTTCATAGGATATTTACTTATTTGCTAAATGCACATGAAGTAATTTCAGAATTGCTAACAAATATTTCAGAAAAATAAATGTTCAGATTTTCTTTGTAGGTTAGCTCAAAAGTTTTTACCACTGGGGAGGGGGAGAAAGAAGACTTTACATGCTTTTTATATACAATATAAATTTCACTAGGCTTAGGTAAAATATATGTATTGACATAATAAAAAAATATTACGTACATTGGGCAGAGGTAGTGGTGCATACTTTTTAATTCCAGCACTTGGGAGGCAGAGGCAGGCAGATCTCTGTGAGACTGAGGCCTGCCTGGTCTACACAGTGAGCTCCAGAATAGCGAATAGCCAAAACACACAAAAAAAATCCTTGTCTTAAAAAATAAAAAAAAACAAAAAAACTTCCAAAGCCATACCAAGACAAAAAAAACAAACCAAAACAAAAAACTTGTATATATTTCACATGCCTGTAGGTGACAAACCCATAGTATATACTTCTATCATAAGAGTGAATACAGTACCCTTTTCTTTATATATTTTGGTCAGAATAGGTCTCAAGCCAGCTGTGTTGTTCACCCATTCAATAATCCCACATTCATCATTCAATGGAATAACTGCATATGTTCGGATATGAAGTTCTCTTCGACGTGATTCTGCATCTTTTCTTAAGCTCTATGAAAAACACAGACAGAAATGAAAAAAAAATAGAATTCAAATTCCTATTATGTCAAATGTGTCTAGACATTGTTCATTTCCTAGATAAAGTGCTAATGGAAGGCTGTAATGAATAATTCTGAAAGTTAGAAGGAGCTATGGGGTCATGTCCCTATTCTACTTCTAAACCTTAAAATGTCTCGTGGAATATCTTCTTTTTAATTCTTCATTATCAATATAACAGAATACTGTATTTGAAAGGTAGTATTTATAAACATATCAACAGCAAAATACTATTATTTATTTTCTACTGCATTACAGATATCATTAATGTCAAGTAGTTGAGACTGATGTTTAATTTTATCTATAAGAAATCCTTGTTACTTTACTTTCCTCTCTGAAAAAAGTCATAAGGAATCATACTAGCTAACAAAAATTAAATAAACAAACCCCCAAACCTAAAATGCACGTCTGTGTATAAATATATAGAGTTTATATTTTTTTTGTCTGGACTGACAATGCTCCCTCCAAGGGCCAAAGACCATCTAATAAACCCAACACCAGGCCTAAGATGCCCTGTTTTGAATTGTTGATCATGGTTGTCCTAGAGTCTCCCAAAACATTATAGACTATTGCTGTTACCCTTGGTTTTTCTCCAGAGGTGGAAGGTCAGTCTCTATTGCTGAAAAGATCACGCATGTCAGACATAAAGTTACAGGCCCTCAGCTGGATCTGATCTAAAAACCTCCTCTCTCTGAGGATTAACTTTTGTGGTACTAGAAGGCTCCATGCAAGCTTCCAAAGGAGGGAAACAACCAACAGTACTACCAAGCTATTACACCCATACATCACACCAACCAGCATGGACAGTAGCCTAAGGGTGCAACAGCGGCAAGCATATTCTCTGGTAGTAACCAACTCTCTAATTGGACGGGAGACCTGCTAACCCAGGGGGAATTCATGCCAACAGTTCAGGGCTAGTGAAGTCATGGATTTTGGAGAACTGATAAGCACTACTTTACTAAACACGTATAATCTGTAACTGTATTCTAAATATTTGTCCTTGTATTCATGGATAAGTATAGTCTTCATCCCTCATCAAAGAGACTTTTTTTTTTGCAACAGATGGAGACAATTACAGAAAAACAATCAGTCAAAATGCACAGCAGTGGAGCCCATTCCCAATGCATCTACCAAATAACTCCTACACCTAAGGCTCAGGGATCACTGTAAAAGAGAGGGGTAGAAAGACTGTAAAAGCCAAAGGATTAGGAACTACACCTATAAAGTCTTACTAACATTACTAAACACAAACTGGACAAGCAATGGACATGGTAATGTGGCAAGGAGAAAGACTAAGAGGCTTTAACCCTAGACAAAGAAATACATGTTGCTAAGAAATGCTGACAGCGGGATAAATAAATCTTCCCCCAGGAAGAGCACACACTCATCGGTTACTAACCAAATGGTCAGCCCTGAATATATACATGTAAGTAACAAACACTGAACAGATTATCTTTATATATTTAGGAATATACATATGCACTCAAAAGGAGGTGTATATGGGAGGGTTTTGAAGGAGGAAAGGGGGAAATGATG